TGCTAGCATGCTACAAACTACTGCAAACAGGCTGGTCAGAGTGAGAAAAACACATCAGCACAAATGACTGATAATTTTTTGAAGTATCACAAAAGGTGGCTCTACTGGATTGACATCTGGAAAGATCTTATTTGATTATGTTATCTTCAAGAATCAAGCATGAAATGATGTGAGCTGTGTGATATAACACAATATCCTGTTTGAAGCAGTCAGATGATTGCTACACCGTGATCATAAAAGGAGTGTTGGACGTCCATCCATAAGAGACAGAATACAGGGGAGTGGTATGATAACTTTACAAATTAATACATAAGTTCTGCACTGGCATTATCTGAACAAGGATACTACACAAGTGTAAGGAATAAAATACAGACAACTTCATTCAAATAGTAGAGTTTATTAACAAAATAAACCTCACAATATTTTTTCACATTTTTATAAGTGAAGTATGACTGTCCAATTAGAAATGAAAACTTTTGTCCCCATCATGAGACTATTTACTTATAACTTATTAGACTCAACTGACTAAATATAATGAACAACTTTTGAGTTGATTCTTTCCATTATTCCTTAGCACTGGATTTATAAGCAAGAAACATGAAAATAATTATTTCAGATTTAATTTGTGTCAACCTTTACGTATTCAGAGCTGTAAACTCAAATCTTACAAAATAAACAGGGACAAAATGTTTTCATAAAAAAATATTTATTACAATAACATACAAGCAGATATTCAGCCAATGTTTGGGGAATCATGAAAAAATATCCCTATAATTTATGTATATAAAAGATGAGGAGAAAGTGAAGAGACGATGTCAGGAGGAGGAAGAGGATCACTGGGAGATTCTGGGAAGCTGCATCCAAACCTGAAGCTGAGGCCTCTCCTCCTCAAGAGCCGCCTGCCTGAAACAATAAAAAAATAAATATTCAAAAAAAGTTCACACTGCACGTAAGAAGCAAACCGGAGGGAATAATATATTTCACACACACAAATAATATGAATTTACAAACTACAAAAAAATCGGAGGAAGGGAATATTAGTAACTGCTACTGGAAGAGAACACTGTGTCAAGGTTTAGATTAGAAGATACTAACATCTTCAAAAGTATAGAACTCTCCAGAGAAGGATATTAGATTTTTATACACGTATCAAACGGTACACATACAAACACATTAAACTATTCATATCACAATTTGAGCCGCTACGAACCGATAACAGGCAGCGGAAAACAACAGAGTGACTTGCCGAGATCAGGCCGCAGTTACCGGGGTAAACACACTCCACCCGGCCGCTGAGATTGGAGCCGCCTGGCTCCGTTAGCGGAGCTACGCTGCTCCGAAAACTCCGGAGTATATTTCAAATAAACTGCATGGACTAAGTGCGTAAATGAAGCTATGAGGGCTACTTTCCAGCCTAAAAACATCTTAAAACAACTTTTTGTGACAAACTTACCTCTGTTTATCGCTGCTGGTGGCGCAGTGCAATGCTGGCCATCTTGCTGGTCCAGAGATGAGACTGGTATGGCTGCAGGTAGGTGTGGAAAGCCACTCCCCCGTGCTCTGGCCTTTCAAAATAAAAAAAACTAAACTAAAAACTCAGGCCAACCATTTTTCTCGGTGACCAGATGTCCGGTATTATTTGTTTCTCACAGGAGCATTACTTAAACTGACTTGCGGCTGGCAGAAAATACTATAGTATATAGCCTGAAACCTGAAAGGAACAAGCTTGTCTGCCTGCAGCCAGCACAATGTGTGTGATACGGCCCCTGTGTAAGCCGGACAGAGAGAACTTCCGGGACAGACCGCTTGTCAAAAATGAAATAATGAAAATCGAAATTGACAGCTCGTTATCAATCCGTCTTTTCCATTTTCGTTTTGTGAACTAAATGGGAAATCGGATAACGAGCAAAAAAAAAAAAATCCGATTTCCGATTTTGGTTTTCTAAACGGAAAACGAAAAAACGAGTCTATTTCAGTTATATCATTTTCCATTTCAAACGAATAAACGAACTGCCTGAAAATACATGGACCTACACGGACCCCAGCATTTGGCTGTTTTGTTTTTTCTAGCGTCACTTGGAGGTGGTTAGCATGAACTGTTCATGAACGGGAGCACACCTGTGGGATTTGTGGGGTCATCTATATTGATTATTATTACATGCTCACTGGTTTTACATGCATAACCAGGAAGCGTGAACACTAGAGATCATCTCGCTAAATTACTGTTTACGTAAATGAGCAAGTGATTTGGTGTACCTAATAAAATGGCTAGTAAATATCTATTTTGAAGAGGTTTTTTTTTTAGTTTTAACTCTAATACAATAAAAATACAAATCTATTGATAAGTGGTTTTGTCAGAGTTTTGCAAATAGTTATCTCATGAATAAGTTTGTCTCTCTACTCTAAATTGGAAACAAGGTGAGGTGGATGCTGTTCTTGGAGAAACTAGTTTCAGCTAGTTCAGAGAGACCCCTCTCCTCCTTATCTTTAAGTTTCTGTTTTATGACCGACCCCTACCCCACTTTCAATAAAACCAGGCTGCTGCAGGGGGACAAGTTGGAGATGTCCTGAGACACCACTGAGACTTTTTGCAAAGGCTGAAGTGATACTACTCTCTGTGTGGTTCTTTATATGAACAGGTTAAAATACCCAACAGGTTTAAAACATGCCTAACATGTTCATTACCCAGACAGGCTTCCCGATGGACTCAGCTCACCATCAGACATGGATTATCTGCTATTGATTCCTGCTTATTCATCACAACTCACTTTCAGTGTCTGTTTTTCTCTCCAACCGTCTCCATAAAAACCTTTTTGATTGATCCTCAAATGGTGTGAGGCTGAAGTCTTTTGCTGTTCTTTGGTGTCCTGGCAGCAGCACGATTTGTTTCTGTTATTTACACAGTGTACAAAGTCAGCAACTTTGATTATTTTGTACAGCATTGTCATGTTGTGCATTGTATGAATTTTCAAGACATAACTTTGGCAAGAGGTAGAAATTAATATATTTTACAAAGATAAATGTCTCTAAAACTAACCTACCGCCAAAAGCTGATAAATATTAGAATAAAACATTTATTTGTCACTTAATATTGCTTTTGTGGAAGAAATGGCCCTCAGCATTAAATATGACAAATAAATTTCAGGGAGCAGTGAACACACATCTGTCTTTTATCACCTGAGTGCATAAACTGTGAACATTGATTTGCCTCTATCTGGTCGAGGTGAAAGATCCAAATTACAAAGAATTTTTTTCTCTTCTCAGCACATAATATGAAGCTATTTGGACTCTTAAATTCTGTTGAGACAGACAAGATATTTAATTTTAACAAAGACTGCTGATTAATATGGACACCAAGGTAGAAATGGTTGAAACAAGGGAGAGAGGCTGGGTAGCAATGGCAAAACATGGAGAGAAACTCTATAAAACATGAAGAATTCCCAAACATAAAGTGCAACATAAGGAAATATGTGTGATAACTAGGGCTGTCAATGTTTTAATGTGTTAGTATTACATAATGCAGACTAAGTGAACTACCTATTTTAAAAGCCTCTCTCACAGGAGATTTACATAGTTCACAGCAGCATGTTGTGGACCCGACACATGGGGAGAGAAGAACAACAGCCAAATATCACAGGTTTGAGAGACAGCAAACCACAACAAAAGTTGAATATTTTCAACTTTCTTTGTTGGTACCCCGCATCTGCACATCAGCTTATATGCACAAGTTCCACAGTAAATGAAAGGAGATAGACATTTCTAAGTTAATGCATGGGCTATATGGGCAATTGCCTATCACCCAAAAACTAAAAAAAAAAAAAAATGGTCAGGTCTCCCTTGAGCAAGTTTGCTACTTCATTGCCAAAGCATGTGTAATGGAGTAAGTTTCCTTTAGCTGCTGTTGCATACTGGGAGACATTACCTGCTTTCTGCTAACAAATTACAATTGCCTTCATTTTAATTGGTTAGAGTAGAGCAGGAGGGGCTGTGCATATTTATATTTCAAGTTTACAAAGTTAGGCATAGTGATTAATTGTGTTCAATCACAGCACCAGAGTGTGATTAATCTGATAACATGGCTTTGTTATGACAACTTGACATTATCCAGTAATCGTCATCTGTCATAAATGTGTCATAACAAGTATTTATTACCAAACTTAAGTCATTCATCTCTCTGTGTTATTACATTTCTCTGTCATTTGCTGCTAGTTTTAACTATGACTGTCATGAGATCTTAATGATTGTGTTATTACAGCTTTTGACAGTGTAATAAGGGAAAGTATTAATGACATAATTATAAACATTTCTCCATACCTAAAGTAAAGTGAAACAAGTAAGAACAAGACATTTTGTCTTGGTCAAAAGATTGACATTTTAAACAATGTCAATGTCAACTTTGTATTAAGAGTGTCATTATTTACTGATTGACAGTGTCATTATCTACTGTCATTCAATAAATAATGACACTCTTAATCAGTATCATTAATATGAACATTTAGCAGTGATAGATATTCATGAAGACTCTGTCATATTTATGACAGTGCTATGACAGTCTTATGCACACCCCTTCAAATAAAGGGTTATCCTTTATCCTTGTCCTAAATCAAAATATGGTTGATGATCTGAAATATGTAAGCGAAACAAAAAGGGACTAATTATTTTTTAATGCACTATATATGACAAACATCTTACTTGGAGAACCTTTTGTAATTGATTTGAGTTTTTTTTGTTGTGTGTCTGACATGGTACAGGATCTTGTCTAAATGCACTTTAGCACATTGCCGGGGATTTGGACCCAGACTCTTAATGAGTGCAACAAAACTTGAAAAGAAGAATTTTTTTAAAAAGTTGTTTGGGGTCATTTTTACATATCATACAACCAACAGCATGAGAAATTCATCATTCAAATGAGTGGAATTTATTCATTATTGGTGTATTAGAAGAAAGATATTTGAAATGAAATAGAAAATGTTAATGAAAGGATTCTGTACGTGACAGCTCTGTGTTCATGAAGACTGGATAAGTAGCTGAAACCTGATTGTTTAAATGAGACTAGAACAACTCAGCTGCTAGTTGACCTTTGTTTGACCTCGTGTTTTTTTTCCAATCAGAGTTAATTAGAGAAACTTGCACATCTGAAAGTTTATTTATTCCCCTTCTTGTTTCATCTCCATCTCAAGTTTCCTGACATGCCAAAGGGGATGAGAATCAACGTGAGATTTGGGAAGAGCATTACTGTGATTAATTTATTCCAAAGACATGAAACAGAATGCCATAATAAGCCAGCTGCCCTAAAGTATCTTAGACTACATGAGTGTGAGAATTTTAATCACACAGCTGTCTTCTCTTGTAGACTCAAAGACTGCCACAAGATGACATATTTTGTGTGACAAATGAGATGTTCACGGTCTATCCATGTTTCAATGGGAGTGCATTTTGAAGGAGAAACAATGATTATTTACCCTCAGCTTGTGTTGCACATAAACATTTAAACATAGTTTCACCCAGACCAGGATTTCAGCAGGACTGTTGGTAGCATTGTATCAGTACCTGTACTCAAAACAAATCAGATATTCAAGAACATAAGGGAAGAACAAGTGTGGGGCATTTAGACATTTTATATAATCATGTTTTTTACATATTTGTTAAAACTATCACTATGTTGTGACAGTATAAGACAGATAATCTGTGAAGAAATCGAGTTCAGCCGCCTTCACCTATGCACCTTTCATCTTCAGAAATACCCAGCTCCGTCACAAACAACCAGTCAGAGCCAGGAGCAGGGTCCTAATGCTGTCAATCACCATTGTGTTAATACAGTGATATTAACACAATGGTGTTAATACCATTGTGTTAATACCAATATAATACCTTATATTGTACTTTCATTACATAGTGACAGTTTTAACAAATGTGTTAAAAAACAAATTTTTATAGAAGTTATCATCTGTACATACAATATTGATACAGTTGCACTTTAATAAGTTACAGAAAAATATCTGAATAACCTGAATAACAGAAAAATAAATATCTCAATAACCTCTGACATAGTCAAATGCTATCCTGCAAACACAGAAGTGTTTGGATTAACGATCTTGAGCCAAACAGAAACAGATAATCACCCTCTCTGGGGTTTAGGTCTTTGCTTACAACTAGCCGACACAGTGGTGATTGGTAGATATTCCCACTGCATCATGTTTTAGTCTTTCTGATGTTTGTCTTGTCTTGTCCCTTATGCTGCAGGGGGATTTGTTCTTGGCTTCAAAATGCAGTCTGGAGTTCAAATCTAAAATGTATATTTATCAATAAATATCAGTGGTGGGAAGTAACGAAGTACAAGTACTTCGTTACTGTAC